GTCTGCATTTTCTCCCCATCACTCCCTTAATGTAGTATATTATATGAAGAAACTTGGAATTCCTCCTGAAACCATCCTCCACTCCTGAGATGGACCAGACTTGAACATAAACACTGCTGAGTTTGCTTTGCTACTATTTTGTTTTGAATGTTTTATCTTTGTGTTCATCAATGAAATGAATCTATAGTTTTCTTACATTTCCCCTGATTTCGAGAGTACACTAGGTTTTAAAACGAGCTACATGGCTTTCCCTCCTTTCCAATTCCCTGAAATAATGTGTATAAATTGGAGATTATTTGTACCTTAAAGAAATAATACTCAGCTATAATATCATCAGAACCTGGTGTCTCTTTCATGGGGAAGGAAGTTTTGACTACTGCTTCAGGCTCTTCAATGACTATTAAACTATTTATCTGGTCCAATTTTTTATTCAGTTAATTTTTGTAATTAAAACTTTCAAAAATATATATTATTGATTATACTATTACAGCTGTCACATTTTCTCTCCTTTATTACCCTCTGCCCTGCAACCCTCTCCCACCTGCATCCCCCCATTTAGTTCACGTCCATGGGTTTATATATAAGTTCTTTGGCTTCTTCATTTCCTATCCTATTCTTAACCTCCCCCTGTCTATTTTATACCTATCATTTATGGTTCTTATTCCCTGCATCTTTTCCCCCATTCATCCCCCTCCTCACCCCACTGATAATCCTTCATATGATCTCCATTTCTATGATTCTGTTCCTGGTCTAGTTATTTGCTTTGTTTGTTTTTGTTTTGTTTTAGGCTCAATAGTTGGTAGTTGTCAGTTTGTTGTCATTTTACTGTTCATATTTTTTATCTTCTTTTTCTTAGATAAGTCCCTTTAACATTTCATATGATAAGGGCTTGATGATGATGAACTCCTTTTACTTGACCTTATCTGGGAAGCACTTTACCTGCCCTTCCATTCTAAAAAATAGCTTTGCTGGATAGAGTAATCTTAGATATAGGTCCTTGCCCTTCATGACTTCAAATACTTCTTTCCAGCTCCTTCTTGTCTGCAAGGTCTCTTTTGAGAAATCAGCTGATAGTCTTATGGGAACTCCTTGGTAGGTATCTGTCTCCTTTTTTCTTGCTGCTTTTAAGATTCTCTCCTTAGCTTTAATCTTGGGTAATGTAATTATGATGTGCCTTGGTGTGTGCTTTTAAGATTCTCTCCTTAGCTTTAATCTTGGGTAATGTAATTATGATGTGCCTTGGTGTGTGCTTCCTTGGATCCAACTTCTTTGGGACTCTCTGAGCTTCCTGGACTTCCTGGAAGTCTATTTTCTTTGCCAGATTAGGGAGGTTCTTCTTCATTATGTTTTCAAATAAGTTCTTAATTTCTCGCTCTTCCCCTTCTCCTTCTGGCATCCTTGTGATTCAGATATTGGAGCATTTAAAGTTGTCCTGGAGGTTCCTAAGCCTCTCCTCATTTTTTTTTTAATTCTTGTTTTTTCTTTCTGTTCTGGCTGAATGTTTATTTCTTCCTTTTGTTCTAAATTGTTGATTTGAGTCACAGTTTCTTTTCCTTCACTGTTGGTTTCCTGTGTATTTTTTTTCACTTTGCATAGCCTTTACTTTTTCCTCTATTTTGCGACTATACTCAACCATTTCTGTGAGCACCCTGATTATTAGTGTTTTGAACTATGAATATGTTAGATTGGCTATCTCTTCTTCACTTAGCCCTGTTTTTGGAGTTTTGATCTGTTCTTTCATTTGGGCTTTTGTTTTGTCTTGGTGTGCCTGTTATGTTGTAAGGGGCAGAGTCTTAGGTATTTGTCCGGGCAGGGCAACCCACATAACCTGGTTGTGGTGCTATATGTGGGGGAGGGGTATGAGAGGGAACAATGAAGCTTGCTCAGCTCTCAGCTGGCTTTCAGTCACTTCCTCTACTACCCACAAGCAAATTGGACCCTTCTGGTACTGATTCCCCAAGTGGGTGCTTTTGTGTATGTTCTAGGATGCTGTGGGTCTCCCCAGTGAGCTATCCTGTGAGACTGGGAGTTTCTCCCACCACTGCAATGCCCACAATATTTTATGGCCAGAGGTTTTGAAGCTTTATTTCCCTACACTCCAGTGTAGGGAAGTGGGTTGCATGGTCTGGAGCCGTGGGTTGCATGGTCTGTCTCACTCCCCAGTTATTCCTCCCAGTTTATCTGCACAGAAATGTGGGGCCACTTGGTTGGCCAGCTGCTGCCCTGCCTTATATCCTCTCCTCCCTGGCTGCCCATCTCTGCCCCTCCTACCAGTCTGAATGAATGTTTCTTCTTTAACTCCTTGGTTGTCAGACTTCCATACAGTTCAATTTTCTGGCAGTTCTGGTTATTTTTTGTTTTTAAGTTTGTTGTTTTCTCTCTTTAGGTTGTGCAAAGAAGCAATGTGTATCTACCTATGCCTCCACCATGGCCAGAATTTCTTAAAGAAAATTTTTAACTAAATATTTACATTTTGGACATAAGTTTGTTCTTAGTTATTATTTATAGTTTAACAATTCTCTGTAGTAAGCCCCTTATTTGGATGCTAATAATATAAATCTGTGCCTTTTGTATTTTTCTTTTTTTTAAGATTGTATTTATTTTTAGAGAGGAAAAGGAAGAGAGAAAGAGAGGGAGAGAAACATTGATGTGAGAAACACTGATGATCAATTGCCTCTTGTATGTGCCCTGACAAGGAACTGAACCCATGACCTAGCCCTATGCCATGACTGGGACTGGAACCTGTGGCCCTTTGCTATGAGAAATGATGCCCAACTAACTCTGCCACATCAGTCAGAGCTTGTCTTTTTCTTGATTGTTCTTTTTTATTCATTTTTTCAAGTTACTAGTTTTTAGTTTCATTTATACCCTCTACTGTTCCTGTATTTTTTACTTAATTTCTATTTTATTTTACATTTTTTGGATTCATTTTATGCTCTTTTTCTAGCTTTTTAATCCAATCGCTACCTCATTTTTAATACTGGAGCTGATTATGTAGTATGTGCACTGATAAATGTAATCTCTGCTGTGATTGCTTCTTCAACCTCCCTGTGTTATGTAATCTTCCAGCTATGTTTTTCCTATTTTTACATCGTGGATCTCTAACTTAACTTTATTCTCTGATTAGAGAATTATCCTATATGTTAACAAGTCTTTAAAATTTATTGTTTCACTTATTATTTAACACATAATCAATATTTGAAAAAAGAGTCCCTGGTTTTTTAAAAATAAATGTATTTTCTATTCAGGAGGGGTTTAGCCTTCTATATAAAACTGTTAGATCAAGCATATTAATTTTGTGTTTTAATAATAGAAAAATGACTAGGCCAGATTATTTGCAAGCAAAGGTATATTCTATGATATTGCAGGAGAGAACAAATCATGTAGTAAATATGCGACAGATTCTGAAATAAGGCTACAGAGCAACTCATATATGCAGCTTTTAGGTTCTATTATTTTATACATTCTATGGTTGGCTATGTTTAATAATTAATCTTTACTTGTGACTAGTGTACTTTTAATGAGGACTCACGCTACCCTACAGTTCTGGGAAGGCTCAACTCCTCTTTCTTCAAACATGACTCCTCCATCCCCTCATCTGTCACTCCCATTTGGCAGATATTGGAGAACTTGTGTCACTCCCTGTCAAAGTCCCTGCTACTGCCTATAAGGCTGTGCTAATATTTTTCCATCATTCCAATGAAAATTAAGACGAATATAAAGTGAAGTGCTTAACTATTATTTTTATTAAAGCCAATCATAAGTCAAAAATGTGTCACATTATTTATAAACCAGGGCATTTAGATGATAAGATTACTGCACAATCCCATTTACTCAATGTTATACTGTAAGGCTAAAAACATAATCACACAGAATTTAATAAACTAAAAATCATAAAAATTCTTGAAATCTGAAATTTATAAGTGACAATCACATTACTATCCAAGACTATGATTTCAAACTAGTTATGTGAATTCTCTTTTGAATCCTGAAGTCATTAAAAAACTTGACGCATGCTTACAGTACAGCAGCATGTACTCATTCTGTTGTGTATATACATGTATATTATAATCCTACAGTTAAATGACACTCTCCAACAGCCCTTATTTCCTTAAGTTTCCAACAATTATCTCATATCAATTTTCTACACAACAGTTATGACTAGCTGATGTATTTATCGCTCCTTTATCTGTCTTCCCCTAAAATGTCAACTCCATAAAGGTGGGGGCTCAGTCTTTGTTGGTCATTACTGTATCCCTGGGACACTTCCTTGCACATAGTAAATATTCATTGAGTGTAAGTTCATACAGTTTTATATGTTACAGATCTCAATTTGAGTTAAAAATTAAGCAAGAAAGACATTATAATAAAAATATGTCAAATAGGAGCATTGTAGTTAAGTTGTGGGCCTGAATGACAATAGAGATTGAGGAGTGGAGTGTGTGACTAAAGATGGTAGAACAAACTAGGCAATGCAGTCAGAGACATGAACTTGTTCTGGTCCCAGTTTCAACTAATTACAGAAAGACAGAGTAAGAAAGGTTGAGAGTTTACCAATACATTCAGGATTAAGTCTGGATGCTTAGAGGCAAGCATACGAAAAAGTGAAAAATCTGGTAGATGGCTACTCTAATGAAAACACAGTATACAGGGTACACCCTTGGAGAGATCCCAATTACATCCAAACTCCTTCACCTGGCAGACAAGGTCCTTCATGTTTTGGTCTCCAGGGTGAGCCTCTCTGTAATCATGCTATGATTTTCTGCTCCCTGCTCTATCCGTTGTGAACTCTCTCACTTCTCTGAACTACACCTTATTCTTCACAGGCTTTGGTGTGTTCCTTTTCTCCCACACAGACTCTTGCTCCCCCTTAAGCCTCCTGCCCCTTTCCTATTTTCCTTTAGGTCTTCACTTAAACCTAGGCACTCATAGTTAAGTGTTTTCTGCTCCCCAAGATCATGTAGGACACATTTCTGATGTGCCCCATAACACCCACTTACCTGTATCTAACATTTATCATACAGTTTTGAAATTGCCACTTTTCACAGTCATTTCTCCAACCAAGCAGTATGATCTTCAAAGACAGAGTCTGGGTGATGTTCACAGATGTATTCCAGCACCTAGCACAACTGACACAGAGAGTACTCAGTAAATGGTTATTGAATAAATATGACTAAAGGAGTGACAGATGTATGAATGTGAACAGGTCCATGAAGGCAACTGAGTCGTAGGTTGCCTAAGGAGACATGATTTATTCAGTTTGTTAACTTTCAGACCCACACAGAAGAGTATGTGTCTGACTCAGGAGTCAGGGGAGCTCTAGGGAAGACCAGGAGGCCTTGATATCATGGCTGAGTATGCTAAGCAAGGTTAAGAAAAAGGCAGGTTAAGGCTATGGCAGGGTAAAACCATCAAGTAGCTGCTCTGTCTATGGAAAGTCCAGCCTTCCCTTCCGATGCTTTCCCTATCCTCTGCTGTGGCAGTCCCTTGTTTAATCTGACTCCAGATAACAAATGCCCTTTACTCCTTCTCCTTTCTGCAATACCAGCTTTCTAGACAATTTATCTGTGAGACCTTAGGCACTGGCAGGTGAAGATGGGGTCATGGATGTTTCAATTGCTGGATGTTCTCAGAACTCTGGCATTATGGCCCAAAGAAGCTACTCACTCTGCCACAAGTGAGACAGGTGTAGGTTTCATCAATCACTGAGAACCAGGGAGCCTCCCAGGAGGACACAACATCAGCCTGAAAAAGGCACTGAGTTGTCAAAGAAGTAGCACCTGCTCTAATTTCAGTGGATTGGATCCATTCTTTAATGAGGTACAAACCAAATGTACATATTTTCCGCCAACTGGAATCTATTATTTCTCTTTTGAGCCAGCTGTTCTTTTGTTCCCTACACTGGAAGGGAGACCTTGAAATTACATTTTTTCAATCCTACATTCTTGGAAATCTATACTGATACTTTAATAAAGGGATTCATTTATCCTAAAAAAAAACCCTCTGTGACAAAAGTATGTTTGGGTATACTAATGCACTCATAATAAATATATACAGCTGTACAACAGGGCAAGAGTCCTGGTAGCCTGTTATTTACAGTAATTGTAGATGTGAGTGGACATTTTAAAGAGAAACTTACAAGTTAGTTGTACTTTCTGGTAGTAATTACCTCCCACAAACATGACTCATTTCAGCAGTTTAAATGCAAGAGTTGGGTGTCCCAAAATCAACAGTCTTATAAATACATCTCTGATGAATGCATAAATGTTTAAACATTTCTCCCTGATCTCAAAGACAGGTTTAAATGTAAGATTTTTATGCATTACAATACCTTTGGGAGAAAGTAAAAACAAAGATCATGGAAATCTCTCTGCACTGGAGGATGTCTCCATTCCCGTGGGAAGGCGGAAACTCCGGCAACAAGAAGGTTAAGTGTGTTTTCTTCCATCCAGGAGGGAAGGCTGCTATTTGTTCTAATGCAGTCCATTTGTTTTGGGTTTTTTTAAATAACACTCATAGGGCAGACTTTTATGGTAATAGAACAGTGTTAATGCTTTTGGGTGGGACTGACTAGGCATCTTGTAACAGAACACATAACTGAAGAAATGTGGCTTGTCAGCCAGGAATGCCGAAGAAAGAACACTCTCTGCCAGGGGAGATGCTCATTTTTGTGGAATGCTCACTCAAAGACATTGTGTATCTCGATAACCTTCGGCCTTCCAATCAGTGGAACATTTTTAAAACATTATTAAAAGCACCCTTGGAAAGTATTAACAGAAACTTAGGTGCTGACATCATCCACCCACTAGATTCATTATTTTGTGAAATCCTAAAGTTTTATTTGTGTCTGGGTGAAAATGGAAGTATATTAGAAGTCTCTGTTCTATTCTCATTATATCCACCTATTTTGACATACTATATAAATCACCCACATGAGTTTAAGAGTAAAATCTATACTCAGAATTCTATCATCTGTATTGAAATATGAAATAACATGTCAATATACACACAGTCCTTTTTCCTATTCAAAATAACCATTGGTAGTCAACTTATCACTGAATCCTACAGAATGTCAGTGTCAAAAAAGAACTGCTTCTGCTGAAAATTCTTTCTCAGTATTTTTGAATTTGATGTCTATTTTGCTCCTAGTTATTTTTGTATCATCAGCTGCTGCCGTTGCATTCCCATCTCTTGAATCCAGAGGAATACAGGGTTCCTCTGTGGCTAAGGGGAAATGCCTGCCAAGAACGCTGAAGTTCTGGTGAAGGTCACTAACTACTACAAAATGGACTAAGTACAGTAAGTAAGAATGTTGGTGCACACAAATGGACAGCCAATGGCTATGGCATTTTGTGGAGAAATCTGATATCATATAATAACACTAGTACATCTGGACATTGAGGAGCATAGAGAAATACCTCCAAAGGATGTGCAGCAGTTCAGTGGTTAGATGAGGACCAACCCAAACTCATTGTCCCAAAATAATCATGAAAAAGAGCTGAGATGGGTCGCATATATTAGATCCCTTGTAGATAGAATCACAACTAGAAACTCTCCACCTGCTCTCATTAAGAGTCCTTTGAACATAGTCTATTCTCTTAAATGCAAAATGATCACCTATAACTAATTCTCAGAACTTGTCAAAAGATGGGGCCAAGTCCCTCTCTATGCGCGCTGAAAATGCTTACAATGCCCAGGATATTATTTCTGGTCCAGGAAAAGTTTAAATTTGGGGGGCGGTGCAGAGAAGAGACAAAAGGGTTAGTTTGGAGAAGGTCCATGCCGTGCCGTTCACAAAGTTTTTTTTTTTTTGACAAGAGTAACTTACAGCTAAGGAAGCAGCTCCGAGGAGCCTTAATAAATATGTGGGAAGAGAAAAGTTGCCCGAGGCGGACCAGGCGTGACTTGGGTGAGGCTAGAGGCTGCTCACTGATTCTCCAATGTCCAGGCTTTTTTGTCAGGGAATGAATGAGGGAGGCTCTTTTTCCTAAGGTGGTAGCCAATCTTTTTTACTTTAAAAATAGAACCAATTTGCCTGCCTTTCCTCTTTAAATGCACCAGGCTACCACACAGACTTGTGGCTTATCAGGTGGGAGCATTTCTTCATTAAGTTGAGCTACCTCCTTCCATGCTTTATAATATAGTTTTTTATTACTTTGATACTAATGGGAGCAAATCAAACAGAACAGAAAAGCATGCCTTTAGAAATAAATAGGATAGCTCTTTTTTGCAAACATTAATGCTATGTTCCAGAATAAACAATAGGGTGACTTATTTCAAAGTTACACCCTCTTAGGCTCTCTTCCAGTTCCATTTTCACCAACTGTCCTGTGTCGCCTTTGCCTGGCCCCTGTGGAGGGCTTCTGTCTGATACCCAGGCATGACCACCATGGGACCTGCTGGGTGCCACCGAGTCACATTCCAGCCCAAAGTGTGTGGGATGGACTCCCAGTTGGGTGAAACCTTAACCAATGAGATATGAAGTCCATGGGGAAAATCTTCCCCTTTCCTCCCCTGGATTACTGGCTTGAAATGCTGTTTATATACCTCAGAGGACAGCACTGTGGGACTGAGCAAGCAATTGCACAGAGCAGCAGAGAACGAGGTAATACCTGGTATTGGCTCACTCTCCTTCCTTGCTTCACTCGCCTTGACTTTCACAGTGCCTGCTGGGGTTGCACTCCCTAATAAGTTGAAGTCCTTTGTCTTGGTTTCTACTTTCCCAAAAAGCCAGGGTAAGACATACTTTTTCTTTATAGGAAAAATATTCTGTAGTCCATTTGGAGGAATAAACCATCACAAATAGTGTTTAATTATTTTATGAATATAAAACATGATAAAGAACTTGTTCGATCAAACGTTAACACATAAAATGGCAATGATTAAATTACTGTGCTCTTCATACAAAAAAACTAGGCAGAAAATTCAGTTAAATAGAATAATTCAAAATTAGATTCCTACTGTGTGTCTGGCCCCATGCTATGCACTCTATGTGAATTATGTCACTGAGTCCTCACAATAACTTGTTGACTAAGTATTGGTTATGTCATCATTTTCTAAATTAAACAACCTAAGGCCTAGAAGCTTTCCAAAATTCACCCAACTAGTATATTGCAGAGACAGGATTTGAACTTTTTTAAATATTTTATTTATTTTTATAGAGAGGTGAAGGGAGGGAGAAAAGAGTGGGAGACAAACATTGATGTGAGAGAGAAACATCAACCAGTTGCCTCCTGCATGTGCCCTGACTGGGGACCAAACCTGCAACCAAGGCATATGTCCTGATGGGGAATCAAACTGGTGACCCTTCACTTTGTGGGACGCCGCCCACACAACTGACTCACCTGGTCAGGGCAGGACTTGAGCTTTTTAATAATAGAAAAGTATTTAGTAAGATTTACTGAAACATAAGTATACAGATTATATGTACAAGCCATGGATAATAAAATGTTAAAAATGCATAGATAAAAATACTAGAAGAAAATAAATCAGACTCTTAGGTGTTTCCAGATTGGAATCAAGGACAACTTTTTTCACTTTCTTTATATCTAGTTGTACTTTTAAAAATTTTTAATTTTAATTGTTGTTCATGTACAGTGTTGTCTTTTACTCCCATCCCAGCCCACCCCCACAGCCCTCCCCACCTCCCTCTCACGCCCACCCCCCAGTAGTTGTACTGTGACAGACACCACGCTGCATGTTCACTAAACATTTCACTCCTGCTCCGGGTATGCAGGAAGACCACATATCCAGACACCCTTCCGAGTACAGTCCCATGACTCATTCTGGCTACTGGAATGTGGGCCGCACTGGGTACGCCACTTCTAGACCTGGCCCTGTTGGCTACAGAGGTTCAGCAGATGATCCCAAGATCCCAAAGGATTCCAAGGCCCTGGGAGGCAGTGGAGCTATAAGATGAAAGAAGCTAGATCCTTAGTTGCTGCTAGAAGAAGAAAGAGCAAACCAACTGGTGGGACCATGACATAAATGAGAAGTAAATCTTTTATTAAGTTTATTTCTCAGTTAATCTGCTAAGCTTTGGGGTTGTTTGTATACCATTCATTTGAATTATCTTAATAAATACATATATTCTTCATTTCTTTAAATAAAAAGTAATTCAAACAAAATA